TGCATACATCCTGAGACCCAGTAATTAAATTGCTTATTTTCATAGTTATGTATAGTATGTATAGATTCACTTCCTTGCCCTAGTAAACTCATCTGTTTTTTATGTTACACTATGTATGTTTTTCTGAGCCCCCTGAAATCTATTTCTTGGGAGGAGTCTCTGTGGCTTTGGTGGTGCATGCCTTTAATCCCAGCACTCGGGAGGCAAAGGCTGGTGGATCTCTGAAATCTATTTTTTAGGCAAAAGAGGTTTAAATATTTTAGCATAATACTTGGTAGTTCACAAGTATCTGTACATGTCATTTGATCTCTATGGCAGTCTTGTGAGGGGACAGTAGCTCCTTCATATGAATGAGCACACTGAGGCTTTGACAAATAATTGGCCTGTGAGAGGTCACCCTGAAAGTGAAGGGCAAACACAGGAATCACGCTGTCCCTCCACCTCCACACCCACTGCTCTTGCACCTATGACTTCTGCTTTGTCTCTGGCAGGGTCCTGGACACTGGGCAAAGTGACAGATCTTCAGTTAGGGGACCAACATAGGTATGAAATAGTTTTCACTCAATTTGTTATATTTTAAAAAAAAGGAAAATGTATTGGAAATTGTTCTGAAAGATTAATGTTCCATGGTTCTGAGCAACACAAACTGGCTTTCCAGAGACTATGAGGCAGTTGTAAAAGATGTAGATGAATATCTGTCCAACTGCTAAGAATTAAAATGCAGTTCATCAATCGTTTTCAGAAAGCAAACAGTGCCTGGTGGTTTCCTTTTGGCAAAGTATAAATTGATTCGACTTATTTTAATGAGTATTTACTTTCAACTTGCCTCAAATCCAGGTATAATCTCCATTGATTATTTTAACCCTTCTGTTTGGGGACTGTAGGTGCTGAGCACAGGTCTGGCAGTTGGGGAGAAAAGGAATTACTAAGAGAACTATTAAGATAGGAAATCCCACTCTGTGTGTCTATAGGATCAGTTTGTTGCTGACCCATGAGGCACAGGTAGTGGCTAAGCCCAGCAAAACGGAGAGGCAGACCTTGGGGAAGAACTTCAAAGTCCTGTCCTCCTTGGGAAGTCCTGGAGCAACAAAGCGGTCACTTCTGCTGCTTGTTTCTAGCCAGAGCTTTCTGTGGAATACACGTGCCTTTGGCAGAAGCCCCTGAACCTGCCAGAGTGTTTTAGTACACTGTTTCCTTCCATACAGTAGTGGCAGAAGAATCCATTGATCACATACATCCCTGCAAATTCCCCAGGTTCCTGTAGGAATCATGGGATTCCTAAATTTCCCATTCTCTACCCATACTGTCATGGTACTAAGACAAAAACTAGGCTGCCAGCCAACTAGATACCCATCCCCTGCCTCATCTGCACAGTCCTTACCTCTCCAAATCTGAGGAAACAAAATTAGATGGAAAAAATACTCAGTTCAGGATAAAAGACCCATATTTTGTTTCGTTTTGGTTTTATGAGACAGGGTTTCTCTGTATTGTTTTGGAGGCTGTCGGTCCAGCCCGGCCTCGAACTCACAGAGATCCGCCTGCCTTTGCCTCCCGAGTGCTGGGATTAAAGGCGTGCGCCACCACCGCCCGGCAAGACCCATTTTTGCTTTGGCCTTTGCTTGGGTATGAAAAGAGACAGATGAATCATCTGATTGGGTTTATAATGTTGAGAATCATTTCATACATTTATCCCATTCATTTTTATTTGAGTCATTTTTACTTAAACTGTTATTCATTGAAATCTCAGTATCTGAAAGTTTATCTATGCTATATAGCCTTGCAGTTTATCATAAAGAAGGTCACCATGCTTATTCAAAAGACAGATCTGGGATGCAGCAGCACCTGAGCAGTTACATGTCAAATGTATGCAGGCTTCAGAAGCCTCAGAGGAGAGCTCCCTGACACACCTGGCAAGGCTAGAACCTGAGCTCCTTTCTTCGCTGCCTCACCTCACACTGATGAGGCACCCCGGGGAGGCTTGGAAAGAAAGAACAAAACACTCTGCTCAAGAAATCAACAAAAGCTAGGAAACCCACACAGAGGCAACGGTTTCCCAGCCCTCTTTGACTTTTTCAGAGGACAAAAATATATAACCAGCTTTACAGTAAGGCATTTGGCTAGTAGTGATTACTCATATCAGCCCAAATTTTTATGATCAGAAGTAGTACATGAATAATATGTAACTTTTCTTCAAAGCCATTCAACCCAAAAGATTTCCAAGCATATCACATGTCACTTTTTTTTCTGATGATGGCATTCAACCAATTGGCTCACTCATTGCCCAGATAAAGAGGGGAGAGAGAAGTACTTAGGCAGTCACTAAGCAAATAGTTGAGTTCCTAAAATATGTTTTATTTTGCTAGTCCTAGATAAACTGCACTTGTTTTCCTGTTCAGATTATTCATGCAGGTTGAGCCTTCAAATACACCCTGCCTTATATTACACTGCTCCTGCTATTGGACAAATCCCATTCTCCTTATCAGAACCGAGCCATCACTTAAGAGCCCATTGACGTCCCCTTTCTGTAAAGCTTTCTCCTCAGCCTGGAGAGTTCACTGTGAGGGTAATTTGTGCACTCCCCTTATTCATGTCAGTTGGTTATAGGAAACCAGGTGTGTGGAAGGTTCTATGCTCGCTTCAGAATGCCTTCTAGATTCTGTTTGTCAAGTTGGATCCAAAGGCTACTCATATCATTTGGTAGATTCCAGTACACACACACACACACACACACACACACACACATACGCACACACACACACACTGTAATTTTATGTAAGTTTCAGATAACTCAAGCCATGCATATGTGCTTACTCATTTGCCTCTGGACTCATCAGCAACAATCCTTGAAGTGAAACACAAATATAACCAAATATCTTTTTCCCTTCTGCTTTTTCTGTGGTCCGTGACTATGTTAACACTGCAGTGTTGCTTGTAACCTCAGACCAGGAAGCCATGTTTCCTTCTAGACCACTGAGCCTATCCTGCCCTCATTTCTGCTTGAAATCTTCTATGAAACAAAGTAGAGTACAAAGAACTGAAGGAATTATTTGGGAACAAATAGGTCTCATCTGAGATTCAAGAAACAAACAATAAGCAGCAGGCTGAGGATGAAATGAACAGTTGTGTGAATGTCCCACATTTTTCTGACCTCCTTCATCCACTTGATGTCTTTGTTGACCGTGCATCTGTACAGCAGTGTTTTTTCATCTGAAATGCATTTGTATTTGAGACAAAGAAATCTAAGAAGAACCTTTTCATAAATTATCTTAAATGTCTTTAAATATTTTGATTATTTACACACAGCTTGTGTGTACATGACAATAAGGAAGCCTTTCATCAGGAAAGCATCTAGCAGGAACATATGCTAGTGGGCAAACATTTTGACAAAAATAATCCTAGCCTTTTTTTCCCCCACTGAAGAGAGTTTTCCAAATGAACGTCCCAGCCAGATTGCCTATGAGAGAACGCTATTCTATCCTGTCTTGCCTATGAGAGAATGCTATTCTATCCTGTCTTGCCTATGGCCTTGCCCTCCTCTCTTCTCCCTCACACAACAGAGATAGTCATCCTTTGTCACCCTGGAGAAGTGGTTCTGAAAACCCCTGCAGATTCCAACATCTATGGATGCCAAAGCTCCTCCTATACAATGGCATATTGTTTGCCTGTAACTGTACATATCCTCCTATAGACTTTAAATGATCTGTAGATTATGGTAATGCCTAATATAATGAAAATGTCATGTGAATGGATGTTTTGTTTTGTTAAATAGAGAGTAATAACGATATAAAAAGTCTCTATGTGTTCAATACAGATTATTTCGTTTTTAATATTTTCCAGCCATGCTTGTTGATGTGGAATTAACTAATCTGGAAAGTCAACTCCTTCTTCCTTTAATTTGAATTTTGCTTTTTTGATGGTGTCTCACTAAGTGTCTTTGGCTGGCTTGAAACTCATTTTGCAGATCAGGTTGGCCTCAAATTCACAATAGAGATCTACCTACGTCTACCTCCAAACTAAATTTTTGGTGTGAGTGTGTGTGTGTGTGTATGTGTGTGTGTGAGAGAGAGACAGACAGACAGACAGACAGACAGACAGACAAACCTGATAATTTAAAAAATATTATGTTCCTTTCTCTCTTTTTTGCAGCAATGGGTATATGACACAGGGTTTCTCTGTGTAGCCCTGGCCGGTCTGGAACTAGCTCTGTAGACCAGGCTTATTCAAAGATCTGCCTGCCTCTGCCTCCTGAGTGCTGTGATAAAGGAATGTGCCACCATGCCTGGCATACATTCCTTTTAAAACAAAAGCATTCTTTTAAACCTGTATCTCTTCCTAACCACAGTATTGTCTGAAGTCTGGCCTGTGGGGGCAGGTCTGCTTAAGTAAGCTTGGAGCTGGGGGAATTTGGCTATTCAAAGCCAAACTACACTTTTGAAAGTCTACTCTAACCTTAGGCATTGAGGCAGGGCTGTAGTCAATGCCATGGCTAACTCACCTGTGCACATGAAAAGCACTGCAGTCCAGTAGCATTGTTCTCCATATGTCAGTACTTCTGTGAAAAATATAAGTTCCTAGAAAAAGCAAGCATCTGTGGGAATCCATCATTCCTGGAAAGCTATAGTTGATTAAAAAGCATTTTAGGACCCTGGCAAAAACAAAACCAGGGGAAAAAATGCTATCACTTATGGTTTTTTTTCAATTTGTGCATTTGTGCATTTTCATCCCCACCTATGAAAGACAAAATCTTAATAGATTTAGTTTTGGACTCTGAAGTCATTCCACTGAGAATCTTGGTCTAGTTTCTAACAGTAGCTTTAATTTGTAAAAACCTAGTAAGAATAGGATGTGAAGATAATGGGCTCCGTCTGAGGAATTGTTTTAGCAGAGATTTCATATGCAAGACTAAATGCTGATCAACAGAGCATAATATTGTATTCTGAAGTGTGTGGGGAAAGCAAAATTAATTTTGTCTTCTTTCCTTCCCTCACAATGCACCACAGCGACTGCATTTGCCTCCAGACTTGTCAGACACAGTGAGCCGCTCAAGCAAACAGGATCTGGCAGAATCCTCCAAGCTGCTGGGCCCAGGCTGTGGCATGATGGCCGGAGGCAGGAAGCACCTGGACTTCTAGGGAATCCTCCTTAGTAACTGCATGCAGAATTATCTGACACCCTAATTATGATTGCAAATAGCTTATGTAAATATTTTTCTTAATGATTTGACCCTCCAATCTTTGAAAAACACAGGATTACAAAATGGAGCCATCATTCTTGTGTTTGGGTTGTTTCATTGTTTGTTTTTTCCACCAACTTTTGTACAAAACTAATACAACAGAAATACCATCATTTGACATTTAGCTGCTGTTGTATATTTTAAAATACTAATTAATTCTTAAATAAACACCAAAAAAAAATCCCCAAAACATGATGTGCCTTAGAGTGGTTGGACTATGTGGATTGTAGCAATGGCATGATGGTAACATTCTGTGATGGTAACATGCATGTTGCACCCCATAGAGTATAGAATATGAGTTCAAGTTGTGTTTGATATATTATTCTGTATTTTTGAAAAGGTCACCAAAAACTAAGGCTTTTTTGAAAAAAATGTTTTGTTTGCTAGTATATAAAAGAATTTGCGCCGGGCGTTGGTGGCGCATGCCTTTAATCCCAGCACTTGGGAGGCAGAGGCAGGCAGATCTCTGTGAGTTCGAGGCCAGCCTGGTCTACAAGAGCTAGTTCCAGGACAGCCTCCAAAGCCACAGAGAAACCCTGTCTCGAAAAACCAAAAAAAAAAAAAAAAAAAAAGAATTTGCAACTGTGTGTCCTGTTTTTTAAAGTGGTAAAGACAAAAATCATATTTAGGGATTTCATCTCAATTGCCCCACATAATAGTTAATGCATACAGAGCTTGACTATACAAAAGCAGCTGTCCTAAAGTTCTAAGTAATTGACATCAGTACTGGGAAATGATATCAACAGACAAAATTCAAAGCTGAAATTCAAGCTGGCAGCGACACTAATGTTGAGGTCCCAGAGATGGGTACTGAAGCCCGTGAGCAGGTTATATGATGTGGGTCTGAAACAAAGTAAAAAACTGAAATGAACTCAGATTTCCAGTGTGTCACCTGAACCCTTTGTTTTATGAGCACTGGCTGAGCATGCTAATAAATCTCTAACCACGTAACATGTCTTGGGACCACAGCATATGGATCAAGTTTTCATGTAAAACATTAGGCTTTGGTGTCATAGGTCCATGCTCTTGAAGGACTTGACAAATCATAGGTACAAAGTGAAAGTTAGAAAGCAACTTGCATGTATTTAAAGACAAGTTTTTCAAAAAGATGTTTAACATCTATTGGCAGAAATTGAATTTCCAAAATACATTTTCAAATAAATTAGAATATTTTGAAGCACCTTTAACTAACATTTTAAGCAGTTTCCTTTTAATATACCACAAATTATACTCTATTTGCTCTTGACAACACTGTGGAAAACAAAGACTGGGTTTTTAAAACTGTCTAACCAATATGATGAATGTCAGTCACTTAAAAAAAAAAAGCCCACTGTAGCATAAACACACACTGTATACAGCTCTTATTCAGAATTAGAATAATTGAATCAATGACAGTGATTTGCCAGGATGTCAAATCTCTCCATCATACCCTGTCACTACCAGTTTATTTTTTGTGATAAAATCAAAAAGACAACTATTTTGTCACCACGACTTCATTAGCACTAAAAAAAAATCAGGTTGATTTTTTTTTTTTAGAATGTCTGGTTTATTTTTTTAATCCCTTTTAATTCTAAAGACACAAATTCTTCCCCATTTTCTTTTCAAAATAAAGTTTCAGAATTGATCTGTCAGTTAAAATTAAAGGGCTTTTATACTGAGGAGAGGTGCTTTTAATATTTAAAACAACTTCAAAAATCCATTTCCTCCGTACATAATAAATCACATTGCACAGGCATCCACAGAAGCCTTGCTGTCCTTTAACAGATTGTGAGCAAACTGAAGTGAATGTTTGATTGTCTTAATAACTAATCTTCTCTTACCCTATTGTGATTAATTTTACACAAATACACAACAGCACAATTATATGGCATTTGACTCAGAAAGGAAGTGTGAAACCATCACATATATATAAATTGCTTATAAAATACTTAATAAATCATCAGTTTACTTCTTGGCTACTACTAGTAGATATTTTTACTTCTTGGCTACTGCTAGTAGATATGCTCTTTACAAGTAGAAAATTTCCTTAGAAACTAAGAAAGTATATGTGAACCCTTAGTTTAAATAGAAATTAAACTTTTCAAACTCTTAAAATAAATAGAGTACCTGGGCTTTCCAAAAATACTACATCCACCACTTTGTTTTTCAGATTCCCTCGGCATATTTTAATAATAATAATAATAAATAAGATGTAGCTGCTGTTGGAAACAGATGTATGGTGCTATTTTATTTTGTTTTCCTCTGATAAAAATCCCTTCTAAAGATATGTTTCCCTTCATCTGGTAATTATTTGTTTTCTATTACCCCAACAACTTCCTACATGAAAATGTTTTCAAAATGCTAACATATAATATATACATATATATGTGTTACATGTTACTATATATATATGTCCTTCTGATGTATTATGAAGTGTATACTCTATTCATAGATTTTAACTTGTCGGGAATATAAATACTTAAGAGCACTGTCAAATAGAGTATCTGTAATATCTCTATATGTTTTCAATGTTTCCAGTGTGTGAACCCCAAAGCCCTTTTTGGTATTCATTCCTTGTGTTAGATCTGCCTTTCTTCAACATGAGGTAAATATTTTGACTACTGTAGGTTGCTCAGGTTTAGGGCTCTGAGGCCCTCTGAATTTTTTAATAGCTACTGAATAAGATCACTTTTCATATCTTGTTTTTGCTTATTCTTTAGCACTACATCCAGGACCTTCTAGTACTAAGACAAATGAAAATGCTTCAGAAGCATTGCCTGTCTTTTAATTTTAATGAATGGGACATACACATACACCTCCAGCAAGGGTGCATAGGGATATCCATATTGGTTAAGCCCATTATTAATGTCAGCTCTAAGACATCATGTTACTGTGTTCCAAAGATAGTCACCATCAATATCCGAATTAAGCAATATAAACCCTAAAGATTTACACTTTGCACCTGAAAAATGAGCATTTAATCATCTATGACCAAGGCCAAAAAAAATTGAAAAACAGAATAATGTGTAGTTGGCATCAATCAACTCAATATATAGAAACACACCCCTCTTAAAAAAAAAAAAAAAACACCTTTTTCTTAAGAACATTAAGGCCCAGAGAATAAAGACATGACTAGAGATGATCAGTGCCATCCTGTGACAGCAAGCACTCACAGAACAAAGCTAAGTGTTAACACCGTAGATGTAATTTTTAGGAAACCTGTTTATGATGTTTCATTTCAGCGGGAAGAGGATATGATGTAAGCACGGTTGAGAACCAGTTGTTCTCCACCATATAAGAGTTGTTGGAAGGTACAGCCTTAGGGAGGGGAAATCCTTGGAATTTCATCCAAGTACAAAGCAAAGTTATTTTCTCCTAGAGCAGCAGTTCTCAACATTGTGGGTCGAGACCACTTTGGGGGTTGAATGACACTTACATAAGGGTCATTCCTGCATATCAGATATTTATACTACATTCATAATAGTAGCAAAATTACAGTCATGAAATAGCAACAGCCATAACAAAATTGTAGGGGAGACAGGTCACCACAACATGAGAAACTGTATTAAAGGGTCAAGGGTCGCAGCATTAGGAAGGTTGAGAACCACTGATCTGGAGTGATTCAACTCTGATTCTGTTCACCTGATATCCCTAAGTCAGTCAAACCTTGAGGTAAAATGTAAGCTGTTTGCACCAAGGATGTCACAAAACTTGGTCATCATCCTGGAAAATGACACTGAAACACCCCTGCAGATTTTCCATTGCCAAATCTATAAATATACCTGTCAGTAAATAAATGAAAATGATTACTGGGAGTTGAAAACCAATTCCCAGGCACTGGAACCACACAGCCTGCGATACAGACAGCTCATCTCCCTAGGGTGCATGCGGGCAGAAGGCAAGGCTGCTGTTCTCATCCTGCTGGTCCAGAGGCTTCCACGGCTGAGCATCCCTCCTTCAGCATGTATCAGGCTGTGCCGCTGCGCCCTGGCAGTCTTGACCCTCTGAGGACTTGTATACGTGCCCAACTGCACACACCCAGACCCTCAGTTCTTATTCCCAGAATTCTGTGTACTCTCCTCAGCAAAGCCATGGGCTAGCAGTGACTGTGACACAGCCCTTCTGTGACAGTTCCCTGAACACACACATCCCTCAGGGAGTGGAAGCTGCAGAATGTCAGGGGGTGGGCATGTCTGCAAGGGCGATGGTACCAACAGTGTATGTGTGCCAGCAGGCAGTGAAAGTCGACATAGACAGTGACTACAAGCACACACAAAAATGGCAATCTAGTTAGGATGGCATAAAGCAACTCTGCTAGAGTAAAACTCAGCAGATCTAAGTGATCTGTCAGTAAGTAATATCTTAACTACTAAATGGGAGATACAGAACTGCAGGGTTGTGTTGAAATCATCAAATCATTTATTTTTTATCATTTGCCTTTGGGAATTTAAAAAGAAAAAATCAGAGTTGGAGTGCATGGAAGTGTCTTTTCTCCCCAGATGATTCTCAATTTTTAATTATTTTTTAATCCAGTCAGCTACACACACACACACACACACACACACACACACACACACACACCTTTTCACTGAAGTTCACTGAAGAAAATATGTCTACTTTGACATAAGTGTTGTTGCACAGAACAGACAGAAAATCACAGTAAGGCAGGCCTTTTTCTAACCAACAAAGGCTTATTTCTTTTCTCCATCCACTGCTTGGGCTCAGGCACTCCTGCCCTGCGTGCCGCCACTTTAAACATGATCAGATCTGTGCTTCTTTGCAAATAACAACTGACCAACAATGGGCCCTGCTTCATAGATTTGGGGATGTTTGGCTTAAGCTGCCAATGGCTGAAGGCCTTTAACTCACACTGGCCAGTCACAGTCTGCTTTGTTGTTGTCTGTTGATGTGTCTGTGCTCATTATTCCTTGACATGCAACATTCCCCTCCACCCTCCAAGCATCCACAACGGCACAGAAAGCAAGACTCAAATGGGAACAGCTGTAGGGGTTCAATGGGAAATGATGCCTCTTGTACAAAGGGGAGGGAGACGGGACAGGGAGAGGGGTTATCTGAGAAAGGCGACAGCTTTCAGAGTCTTGTTTAAGAACTCAACCTTTGAGTATACTTCCTTGAAATTATAGTGGAGATTGGCTGCCCATTTTGAAAATGCCAGTTTCAATTCAAAACACGATTCCTAGGGAAATGCTTGTTATGTTTTTTAATTATTTCTAAACTTTGAGCTTTTAAATGAAATAAATGGATAAACTGGAAGTGTTGCCATTTTCTATACGTGTTGTGATATGCAGATCCACACAGCTGTGTTTTTTTTTTTCCTGATACATGGCCAACTTCTGATGTCTGTAAAAATTATCTCCTTGAGGACCATCAGGTTGTAAAATCGAATGTGTATGAACATAACCATTGATTTAGGATGTTAACCTAATGTAGAAACAAAATTTGTAACACCACACTATAAGGTTAAAAAGAAAATAGTGTAATAAAGAAAATACAAAGGCTTTGGCATGGTTTTTACAATCAACAATGGTTAATTTTGATATGTATTTGTGAACAACTGCAAAACACTTAGGTTTAAAACTCTTGCAAGCACTTTTAATTGATTAGGAATGAATTCTAGATGCACAAAATGATTGGACTGTGAACAGTAATACAGCTATATCTAAGAACAATTAACTTTTGCTGTCCAAGAAAGAAACAAATGATTGCATGAAAATGTGTATAAAACATCTATAGAGTATTCTTGTCAAATATAAATGAAATTAACTTTATTATAGAAATCATTCTGAGGATTTCTAGGGAAGACAAATACTTACATTTTGACATAAAACAAATTGGATTATATCGAAGACACGCTCTACCTTTTAGCTATCAACTTCTCCTTGAATTTATATCTTACCCTTTTTTGCACATAAACTTCATCTGTTAACAACCTTTGGAAAACCAACAGATATTTCTTACATATATCTAGTGTGTGTTGTTCCAGGTTTAATTATATGCAAAGGAATGATACAAACTTGGAACATCAGTCCATAAACTATGAACAGATGGGTAGAAGTATTCGATATATCTTGATAAAACTCTTAACGCCATGGCAAATCTTGTCAATCATGGTTTCCTTTAAACAACCACATGAGCCAACACAGATTCAAGATCCACCAGCCTGTGTTGTTCTTTTCTTCCTTATAACATACAAATGCCCATTTACAAATAATACACCAAAATTAATAAAAGTTTGGATACCAAAATGAAGATTTGTTCCAACTGATACCGTGCCTTCTGTATGCAAAGGTCCTTGTTTCTAGTCCATCCCCGGGATCCAATACAGGACACAGCTGCAAAGTGAAGTGCTTCTAACAACCATGTCTCTTTCTTTCCTGAACGCCCAACTGCTGTGTCCACAGTCACTGACTGAGTGAATACCATTTTCTCTCTCCATCTCTCTCTTTACTGTAATCGGGGCCAGTACTGAGACATGTCAGGTTCACTTCCAGGAACTTGGACAGGAACTGACACTCCAGGGGAAATGAGTCCTGTAAATGAAAAAAAAAAATCACAAGGGTGGAGTCTAAAGTTGGCACACAGCGTGAACACACAGACTTTCTAAAACCCCTGACCTTTCATAATACTTCTTTTATACTTTATATTAAAATGAAAAACTTTCAATCGTTAGAAAGAAAAGGAGAACTTTTGAAACTAGAAACTGTGTTCATGAATACCTCCTAAAACTCAAGTCAACCTCCCCAACATTTGGAAGTTAATCAGTAGAACCATTTTGGAAAGACTTATGTGGTACCTCCTCAGCTGGCATCAAGAAGCTAGATGATGTATAAGTCTTCCAAAAAGCACCTATATTAAGCTTAGTGAACCCTGCCCACTGTCCAGCTCAGATTAAAATGTCTTCTGGAAATTTGATCTCAGGCCTTGTCTTTACACACAATTTCTGTGATCAAACTCACCACCATCAATGATCTCTCTTTTGTCTATATAGTGTCAACTCACTAACTTAACTGAATTTCCCTTTTCAGTCAGCTTTCTCCAGAGCAAGAATAGTCAAATGTTCAACACATCCTTAATGCAAGGCAGAAGTTTCTTCTCAAGTCAACTGTAGAAGTACATGTGATCATCTAGCCAAAGAGGCTCTGTAGACCCCTCTTCACAGCTACAGAGAGCTCACCTGTTGAAGTGGTCCCCGAGGTGCCCATGGGCTGACTGTTCATGTGTGTTTGCATGTGCGGAGGGGTATAGGTGTCATAACTCCGCCCATTTACCGAAGGGCTGGTGGGTAACATGCAGGAGTATGAAGAGGTCTGGCTGGGGACTGGGGGCTGCCAGGAGAAAGAAAAACCTGTGATTACTGGAACCACATCACACAACCACATCCTGGGGTCACTTCTCCCCAGGCCCTCTGCCAACAAGCCTGGTTATTACTGATGCCTCTTTGGAATGTACTAGAATTCCTTATAATGAGCCTAAGCTTGGCTCTTCATCATCAGCCACCACCAGAGCAAAGCCACCTACGTGACAAACTTCTGAAACACAGTAAATTCAAACCAACATTCAGTTTTGGCAGTCTACACTGTCTTTTACCACTGCTGGAGATACTTGCATGAGAGATTCCCTCAAACCCAGATCTATTTGAGAACGCTAAGATCACCAAATCCCATAGTTCCACTGCAGGGGCAGAGAGCAATGGAAGGACTCTTTGGAGAGCTTGATGTAAGGACCTTGGAAACTTTCCAGTACTGGACTTGGAGGATTAGAGATTTTTTTTTGAGATGCAACCATAATGGTATCAGGTTAAAAAGGTCAGAAATGTCAGTGATTGAATGTAACTTAAACACAAAGTGAAGATTAATTGACTTCTTAACTAACCCAAAAGTCCTGATTAGGTCTCATCCATAAAATTGTGTTGCTATCTTCTAAGCATTCAAAATGGAAATGTTGAGGAGACAAACTTCTCTCATAACTAAACAAGACATATGCAGAGTCAGGATAGTGTCCCCCCATGAGAGCCCTTAAGGGTTATCTGAGGTCAGAAAACTCATGAGGTGAATCAACAGAAGCATGGTGTCAGTGATAGCTGCTCTGCTCAGCAAATGCTTGACATTCCCATCCTCATCTGCAAAGATTGACACTTGCTAAAGGAGGTTCAGTGGAAGATGCCCAGTATTTCCAAGACCTGGAGGATTTTGGTCAACAGGATGAAGCCATTGACATAGAGACCACCCCTCCCGATTCCAAAACTTACAGAGGAATTTTCTCTGAACTGTAAAATCACAGATCATTTTTATTTTCTCTGTCACTGAAGCCACTTACTTTTGTAACTTTATAGTCTGTATAATTTTTAGAAGTCAATGTTTGAAATAAATCAGCGTATTTCTTATATGTAGAAGTAAGCTTATATAGTTCAGCATCTATCTAGTTGTTTCATTTTGTTTTTCCACGTGCACATTATGTCACCCTCGCAGAAACCTAGATGTTGCTATAATATGTAACACTGCCCAACATACTCAGTGGCCTCATTACAGTCAGATGGTGGCTCTTCGTGTATGTCAAGTTTAAAAAGGCAAGCAGGCCTAAAGGGCCCTGCCAGGATTTCAGTTTGCATTTGTTTCTAATTCCTATAATCACTTCCTCTAGGCAACCTGACTTCTGGAAAATTCCAAGATAGTTATAGCAATACTAACTAATGGACTATTGGTCCCTTCATTTATATCAATTGTACTACGGCCAATAAAAACAAGATACAATAGAAAGGAAGCATGTGAAGAAGTTGCCAAGCTAGCTATTCCAGTATTGGTCTGAAGACTGGGAGACTTTATTTTGCTGCTATTTGACTTCGAAACCTGGCAAAAGATGCTCAGTGGAGAATAAACAACCTGTGTAACCCCAGAACTGTTTCCAGAAAGAGCTCCTGTCACCAATCTCATACAATCAAGCATATCTACGTAATGGTTGCACAAGCAGGAGACTTAGGAACGCTGATGTAGAAGACCCATCAGAATCCCCACAGCAAGAATCCACCCATCAACAAAGGTCTAATACATCCCAAGAGCCATGTACAACTAGCATTAGAAAATGCCAGCTGACTCCAGGATCTACCACTAAGAGCACAAAGCAGTGTACTATGCTGAAAATGCCATAGGTACTACCAACCTGTCACATCATCTACGGCTGGTATACACTTTCTATTACATTTTTACTTTTACATATGGAAAGAACTAGTTTCCCTATTTTAGTAAACATAGTTCACTGTGTAGAAGACTCTCATTTCTCAGCCCCTTCTCCCTTTTTTTCTTCCTCACTCGTTTCTCACATGAACCAAAAATAATCCTCAAAATGCTTCTGCTGATTCTGTATTTATTAATACAAATGCACTAACATAAACACCAAGTTTTTGCATACTAACATCTTAATGCCTTATATTATGCCATCATTATTTTTGCTTTGTGGCACAAGCTTCACTGATACCCAAAACAGACCTCACTACCACCCAGAATTATCCAGCTAGCATGATGATAAAAGGCACATTAACTTGACTGAACAGATCGAGTGTTTGTTTTTCAAGGGCATGAATCAATCAATCAACTCAAAGAGATTGGATTGACTGTCTCAGAGTTGACTGGTCAAGCCAATCACTGTCACAAGAAGGACTCCCAAGAGAGTAAACGCAGCAGACGGGGTGTGAAAGCCCCAACCCATTCCCTGCCCTGTGCAGCAGGTGGCTAGCCTCTCTTACTTGCATAGGCAGGTTGTTTGCCATGGTGAAGCTTGGCATAGGTGGCAGAGCACTGTATGTGTTGGTGAGGGCGGTGTCTGTTCGGCCTAGCATGGAGCCTGATGTGAAGGAGGAAACTGCAGAAAGAGAGAAGGAGAGAGATGGGAGGTCATTACAGGATGAGGGAGAGCCCAGGGCAAACAGATTTAAGAACTTTTCTTGGCAGTTGGCATTTCAAGTTACCAGGCGTGGTAGGCTGTGGAATTGGCTGATAGACACTGGTGCTGAAACTGCTGCTGATAGGAATATGACTAGGGGTGTTGCTCGCCTGTCTTCTCTGGTTCCTCAGTTTTTCTTCTCTTCTCCATTTGGCCCTCCGATTAGAAAACCATACCTGGAAATGCGTGGAATAGTTTAGTCTTGTGCTCCTTACCAACTTTGCCAGAAACAAAAACCCCTCCATTCCCACTATGCTCTGCCCTAGGACAAGAGAGTCGTTGCAAACTGACCCTGTTACAAGTTATATAACTAGATA